CAGTGATTGGTGGAGTGTGTTCATGTCGCCTTGAAAGCTTTCAGAATTCAGAGGGCGGAAAAAATAATCCTGCATTTTCACAATCTGACAAGTCCTGTTTATGGGCAGCTTATCAGTTATAGAGAAGTTTGAATTCATTTATAAACACACAAATCACACTGTGATGAAGGCCTTTAGAGACATTTCATACATTTATCTGAAACCAAATTCATTTTGCATTATTGCAAACATGGATTCCAAACTTGTGCACAGTAGAATGCATGGTTTTTGCGTTATGTGGCAGAAATCTGTGTTCAGAGTATCATTTTGCGTGTGTAATCCTCTTGGCCTTCAGCACTGCTTTCTCTGCTGTCTGGAGACACCATACCACAGATTATAAGTCTGTTACTCAGCGCTGGATTTCAGTCTTCAGCGCTCGGAAACGGCCGTAAATCAAATGCAGGACATGGTGTGATGACTTCACCAGCTCTAACAGACAGTGTATGCCAAGCCCCTGGGGAAGGACGCCTGCGCTCTTGTTAATGCACTGGAAGGCCAAGTGTTTTGACAGAACTCTGAGGTCAATGAGGGAGAGAAAAGGCCTGGTGGCCACCACGTGCTGCTCGGTTTGGTTTGCTGTTTTGTTTTCTGGCTGTGTTTGGAAGTGCTGATGGCTAGAAATCCAAAGGAAACTGGCTGTTCAAGAGCGGGCAAGAAAAAGGCCCATCAGTGAGGCAGCCTGTAGTCCAGTTTATCCAATGTCACATTTTGGAGTCAGCTGGGAGCATTTACGTTTATTAGGGATGTGCCTGGGTACTGGAGTACCAGTATTTATATACTGAATACTAAGTTACCAGTATTCATATACTAAAATCAGAGGTCGCATTGATTACAACACAAATATAGCCATTTTATTTACTATCCAAAACTACCAGTGAACCTACATGTGCCTTCTGAGTTTTATATGGAATGTTAATGATGGTAAAATAATGATAGATCTGAAAAAAATTTCTTTGGGGACTATTTTGTCTGTTTTAACACCCTGCTTGCCGTGAATGGGGTTAAAAATCTGTGTTTTAGAGCTAAACTTTGTCTCAAAACTATGATACAACAACATCTCAGGCCTCAGGCAGTGTATTCATAATCATGTCATGTAATAACCTTCTGTGAGGGAGCTTTTAGAAGTTTCTTTAGAATGGAGCATTTCACACCAAACCAATCTGAATGACTTTGTAAAAGTATGTACCATGTAAAAGTAAATTCATATATTCATACACACATCACTGTACAATAATCAATGCATTTTACCGTGCAGTTATTTACAGTATAATTGATGATTTAAGTACAGCCCTATATATAACTGTAACTTGAATACTGATAGTAACCAAAAAAAAATTCCCAGAGAGAGAAATGATACAGCTGTTTGCAGTGGCAGACCTTTCCTTGGTACTGCGCCTGTGTAAAACACTCCTGGGTCATAGAGTTGAGTAGAGTCACTAACTGAGTGGAAAATGACTCGGTATGGGTCGATAATATTACATTACAAACACAAGTCAAGGCTAATCTTCTATATAATCAGTCACAGATATATGAAGACACTGTCTGCTGTTATCAGGCACCGTCCTACATGCAACACAACCCATCACACAGACTCTGCTCCCATCTATAGGAATACCTGACCCACGTGTTACTGTTCCACTTTTAACTGTGTTTGATTCTGTAACAAACTAAGAGTTGTGTGTGTGTGTGTTACATTCACTACATTCAATTTACAGGTTCGATTCTACACTTCTGATGCTTTTCTCTTGTCAATGTCAATAAATGACGAGTAGGGGCCATGGGGGATCCAGAAGGGTTAATGAGTAGAGTGGCTGTGACTACATATAGACCACTGAGCTGTTAATTTTAAACTGGTTAGATGAGAGAGGTTTTCAGTCTGCTCCCTGAGGAACACCAGCTTTTACACTCTATTCCAGCTCCATCACACCTGCGCTCACAGTCAACGCTCTGCGGTTCTTATTGCCTGCACAGGTGTGCCTGCAGCTGCCTGCAGTTCTTCACAAACTGAGTTAACCCTTAAAGCCTTAGAAGATGCACTATATGGCCAAAACGATGTGGACACCTGACCATAAAAGGCTATTCACTATTCAGCCTTCACTCTTCTGGGAAGCTGTCCACAAGATTTTGAAGATTTTGTCTGTGGGAGTCGAAAGAGCATCAGGCACTAATGTTGGATGAGAAGGCCTGACTCTGAGTCGATGATGCAGCTCATCCCAGAGATGTTCAGTGGGGTTGAGGTCAGGGCTCTGTGCAGGCCACTGGAGTTCCTCCACACCAAACTCGACAGACCATGTCTTTATGGAGCTCGCTTTGTGCTCAGGGGCTCAGTCATGGAACAAGAAAGGGTTTTCCTCATACTGCTGCCACAAAGCTGAAAGCATATAAAATAATTACAGTTTTTACTTATAAGTAATTGTCTAAAATGTCTTTGTATACTGTAGCATTAACATCACCCTTCACTGGAAATAAGGGGCCCAAACTCTGAAAAACAGCCTCAGCTCATTATGCCCCCTCCACCAAACTTTACTGTTGGCGCTATGCATTCTGGTAGGTAGTGTTCTCCTGGCATCCATCAAATTTAGGTTCGTCCTTTAAACTGACAGATGGAGAAGCGTGAATTATCACTCCAGAGAACATTGTGTCAACTGCTCCAGAGTCCAGTGGCGGTGAACAGTGAACTGTTGTTGCTCCTTGACATTCCCCTGTCACAACAATAACACTTAGAGTTGACCTGGGCAAACATTTCACAAACTGACTTGTGGCAAAGGTGGTATCCAGTGACGGTGCCACATTTAAAGTCACTGAGTTCTTTGACACGACCGATTCTACTGCCAGTGTTTGTGGAGATTTCATGACTGTCTGCTTGATTTTATGAATGGTGCTTGATTTTAGGAAGGGTGTCCACATACTTTTGGCCAAATACCACCAGTGATTACAAAAGCTTGCTGTAATTTTATATAAATTATTTCTCACTTGCAGCTCATTGAAAGTGCAGACTGTGTTTGTTAGCAGAAGAGGAGCGATTGTATGATTAAATTTGAAGGGGTGTGTGTGTGTGTGTGTGTGTGGTGTGTGGTGTGTGTGTGTGTGTGTGTGCAAAACGACAGTTGTGAATCTAGTCTTCTAAGGCTTGTGTTACTTGTTGAAGTCTTTACTGATGAAGTTTGCTTGTAAATGTAAGAGCTTTGGGGGATGTCACAGTGAATTTCATGCTCAGAGCACGGTAATCTCCATACATACACGCTCAGTACATGCAGCACAGTAGGCGTACTGCAGCGTAACCCACAGAAATCATGCCAAACCTGTCAGAGCTCGCAGCGTCCCCCGCATCAGCACCCGATACTGCACCATTTCAATCAGCACTTCTCCATACAGTGGCCAAATTCACACCGTGGGGAAAAAATGTTTGATTGTGTTATCTTTTTTTTTTTATTTTGAGTGCTGCGGTAAAAATGGCCAAATATGTCTTCGACTAATATACAGCACTTTGCAAAACTCAGACGCCAACGTTCATTTATTTAATTTGCAGTCAAAATGGCCATTAAGTGCAAGTTATTCATTTTTTAGAGTCCGCTGAAAGCATTCATCTAGCAGGAAATTACACAGAAGCTTCAACAACCGAATCTAATATCATGTTTGAGTGTTCAGTGTGTCACTCTTTATCTTTATTCCAGCTTCCATTCTTTTCAGGAGACTCACTTTCAGTTTCTCAAAGAAATCTGCAGACACAAAGTTCAGTCTTAGAAGCTGGTTGATCATTTTCTGAAGTAATCAAACACATTCAGTGGTGTTGAGGTCTGGACTCTGGGGTGGTCAGTCCATTGTTCAGCTTCTTTGTTTGATGTGTCCGTCTCCTTTTCTCACTGAGGTTCTTCTTGACAGCTACACATCCTTTCAGACTCATAACGCTGAGTCGTCTTCTCACAGTGAAAGGATGGACAGAAACACCTGTGGATGTTTTCAGTTCTGAAGCAGCTTGATTTTCTCCTCTCTCTCAAAGATGAAAGCTTTAAGTGCTGTTTATCTGATGGGGACAGTTGTGGGGTCTACCCAGTCTTCCAGGTGGTTGTTAGGAGTCCCGTTGTAACTCTGTACATTGTAACTAAATAACTAATAATTAGGAGTGTTCTGCTCTGACTGCATTTTAAATGGGGAAAACCCATTGGAACAGAGCTCATTTGTGCACTAACAAAAACCGGGGGGAAAAAGGTGGGGGGGGACAAAATGCAAGAACAATGTAGGATATGAAGATATTTAATATGAAAACAGTTTTATTCTGTCAACTCACTTATTACTCAATTAGTTAATGCTAATACTGAAATATTCAGTAGGAAGCTATAAAATGTAAATTTTGATGAGATTTTAGATGATCCTGAATGATGAATAGAGCTGTAGAAGATTCTAAAGCTTCTAAAATGACTGTAGAACATCAAGAATGAAGTTGTAATAAAAGTAATATTCAGAATGCTTCATGTTTAATATGTGGTGGTAAAATCTTTCATTTTATCAAGACTTTACCACGGAAGTCTGGAAAGTACATGGGCTATTGCTATAATTTTCTGGATTGTTATCTCGAGATGAGTTAATTATCTTCTTTGCAACTTTGTTATCTTGGTCACAAGATAATTACCTTGTGATCTCAATTCAGAAAATTATAACTACCTCATGGCCTCTTCAGGCTTCTGTACTGTACTGTACGTAGATTATTACATTGTTATTTAACAACTTTTTGGTGTTTCTTAAAAAAAACTTTAAATATTGAATAAAATATTTTAAGATACCATCTGGTGTTTATCTTATAATATTTCAGCTCTCATTGAAGGAAATAACAGCAATTATTCATGTGACAACTGATGTAAACTTTTGAACAGTAGTGTATATAATAAGAGTGCTGCCTTCAGTTTGATCCTGTTTATTTACGGTGTTAATTTCTCCACCCTGTGAATGTGTTTGTTCCTCAGTGACTGAGTGGGGTGATGACGTAAGGCCCATATCTGAAGATGAAGCGATGGTCATTGTAAACCATCAAGCCACTGGAGATGTTTGCACTCTAATGATGTGCCTGCAGGACAAGGGAACGGTAAGCCGTCCTGAGGTTTATTCTGAATATATTTTGCAGTTGAATAAATGACAGAGAGCAACACATTTTATGGACATTTACATTCCCTCGCTTGCATCATGGTTATTGCAACCAACACTGCAGTAAATGGAAAACCGTCCTGTTAGCTCTCTGCTTTTCTTTGTTCAGTCCAGAAAATGGCAACGACTATACAGTGTGACATCACGAAAAATACATGAATAGATCATTTTTAAAAAGAAACATTAGAAGCTCTGTCGCCCCCTACTCTTCCTATAGTGTATTACAGTTTGTCAGAATGACTCAGTGTGTCCCAGTTCAAGGGCTGGATCTTTCAAAGGACACGGTCTATGAAGACGTTTCCTTCGAAGGCTGCTTACCCATGAAGGCTGAACCGAAATGAGACTGTCTGCTCTACGGCGGATTTCCTATTTTCATCACAGCACCGCTGTTCCTGCCCTTACCGTTGCATCATGAAACGCCACTCCTGTCAAGTTCTTTTTCAGTTCTTTAAAGATGTTTTTCTTTATTTTTTTCATTTATTAGAGCTGGAGATGCTTCACTGCCGGCTGCTGATGAGATTGGGTTGTTTTTTAAACATTTGTATCGTTAGCTACTCGCCTCAGTTTAAACCCAATACTTATATTTAAAAGTGTCACCTCAGCCGCTGCTCGCTCCTCTGCTGATTAAGTCATGTTCTCTAATCCTTGCCAGCACGCAATGAATCTTGGGTATGTTGACTGGCGAAGGATCCGTTCATTGAATCCTTCGTTGCCATGGAAAAGGACACATTTCTCGGCTCCCCTGAATTGGATCATATGAACGTTATAGAGCTGAAACAGTGGAAGCCATTTCGCCCCCAATACTTCCTGTAGAGTGTTAGACTCTGTCAGAATGACTGTGTGGATCGTAGTCACTGTCGTGCAAAAACCTTGTATGTCCATTTCTGTTTTTGCTTTTTTGCATAATTTGAAAACTCTGTCTAGCTTTTGCACTGGGTTAAAATTTCATGATGAACAGACCAACAGAAATGAGTATGAAAACCACAAAAGTGTGTTTCCTGATGAAAGTGCAGCGTGATTGCGCGGCTTAAGCAGTTCCCAGGTGGTTTCCAGTGCTTACTATGGTATTTCAGGTGTTTGCTAAGGTGTTAATAATCTGTTGCTGTGGTGCGTCAGGTAGTTGCTAAGGTATTGCTAAGTGGTTCCTGCATTGATAAAGTCAGAATTGTTCACAGTGGCGGTGATAGGAACCAGACGTCCACCTCTAAAAGCTCCCTCACAGAAAGTTATTATATGAAATGGTTATGAATTCACTGCCTGACATCTGAGACACTGTTTTACAGTAGTTTTGTGATAAAGTTTTGGTCTGTGTATTTTAATCAATTTATTTTATCCCATTCATGGTGGAGGCATATATGAAGGGTGTTCTAAGGTAAAATAGACCCCAAAGAAATTGACCGATATTTCATCATTATCAATATTACATCTTAAATCTCAGAAGAGACTTCTAGGTTCACTGGTGTTTTGATTAGTAAATAAAATGGCTATATTTGTGTTGTAGACATTATGACCCCGGTTTCTGCCACCACCACTGTAAAGAGATATGAATCTGTACGTTTCTCTACAGTTGAATTATTTCACATCAGACTACTCTGAATGGCTTTGTTTATATCTCAACCACTGAATTATGCAGAAATTTTGAAATATCATTCCCATTTAAGTGGTTTGTTCATTAGTGCGGCAGCATACACTTGACTTACTTTACACAGTATCAGGTGGTATCAGATGTTTGTACTTTTATGAGTATGAGTAAATGAGCCCGGTGTGGTGGTACATGCTGGTACATGATACCAGTATCGGTATTGATCCATCCCTGGTGATAATGATTGGCAAACAGTTCCTTGTTCAGCCCTATAAGTTCCCTTTATCTTCTGTCATTATGGAAAAAGCTGTATGTGATATGTTGTTGTGGTAGTATTTGTACGTTAGTAACTGAATGGCAGTGATTTTATTTTATCTGCTGCTCAGTCCTGTGATATTGACTCAGCCACAGTGAGCGGGCGGGGCTGATAAGCACACGCTGCAGAATGTTTGTTTGGCTGTTCCTCTGGTCACCATGATCGTTTCGGCATGTGTAGTGTTTATTGTTCTGGGATTTATTAGCTGAACTGGAACCCCCCCAAACCTCTCACAATCGACAGTCCAAATGTTAAGAAGAGCCATTTTGTCATTTCAGTAAAAAAAATCAATTCTCTCTGGGAGCCACACTTTTTCATTTTACCTTCTTGGCTGTAAATATGTCTCCGTATGTACTAATGTACTAGTATAGGCTAAAAAATATAAACTTACTTTGCTCTGCTTTAAGCTTTAGCTCAGCCGTGTTTCTCACATCTTGGGCAGAAAACATGATGATGGTTGACTTTTTACGAGGCTGAAGTCAGCTTGTCATTCACCAGCTTCTTGTTTGAATTTTCCCGTTCCACATTAAATGGTGCCTGAGGTGCCAGAATGTAACTGCTGCACCATTTAAGGCGGACCGGCAAAATTTAAACAAGAAGCTGGTGACTTTTTAGTGTTTGACAGTTTCTGGTTGCAGATTAAACATATCAGGAAACCAGTTGATTGCTTATTAATGCAAGTCCATTCGTCTTCAAACTATAAATATTAGTCTGCCTTTTTGTTAGCTACTAGCTAGGCCAGATTGTTGTCTGCATTGCTATGGTGACCAGCTGTCTGCGTGCCAACCTTCAGGGTTAAAGTTTAAATTAGCAGTTATACATTAACTCCAGCTTTCAAGACCATTTATTGTTAAAACTGTTAGAACAACCAGCAGAGCTTTATTTATAAGGAGGATTATTTTATTTTTCTAATTCTACTGTGGAGCCGCAACAGGGCAGTAAAAGAGCCCCACATTGCCGACCCCTGCACTATACTATGCAATACTAAGCTATATTAAATGGTACCATACTAAATAATAACAGACTGTTTAGTACTAGACTCGCAACCTGTCCAGGGTGTTTCTTGCCTTTCACCCAGTGAGCGCTGAGACAGGCTCCATCAACTCATACAAACCAGGAGGATAAGCGGCTTAGATAATGTGTGTGTGTGTGTGTGTGTGTGTGTGTGTGTGTGTGTGTGTGTGTGTGTGTGTGTGTAATACTATATTGCAGTAACATTACGCACTACTTAAAAATGAATTAAAAGTCCTTTTATTTTAATCAGTGCAGTTTTGCACACTGGAATTTGTACTATATTATTACTTAATTTTAACATTAATGCACAATATGACATTTTCTGCTAATTTTAAAGCACGGTTTATTGACCTGTTTATGTGCTGGATTTAGCATGCTGGAAAAAGGAAAAATAAAACGTTATGGCAGATTTTATATATATATTTTTTCCAGTTTTGTTATGCAGTGTTGTAGAGTGTTTGAGCGGTCAGATGGCCACCTTAAGTGAAGTGCTTCAAAACTCATACAAAATAGCTCATTTTAAAACGTAGTAGTTTTTAAAGAAAAAAAATATCAGTTCAGTGTCATGTATCGGTCAATACCTCAGTATTGGTATCGGAAAAGAGAAAGTGGTATCGTGCCATCTCTCCTTCAAGTACTTTAGATGCAACTCTGAAATAACTCTGCATTGTGTCCAAAAACATCTTGTCACCATGGCAGAAATCTCTGGTTTAGGAACGTGCAGTGCGTTCGAAATCCAAACTCTGTACCTGCCAATGTGAAAATGTCATTTCCTTCATAGAGAGTTGGCGAAAGAACTGGTCAGAGTAGCCTGAACCACAGCCTGAGATAAGGGCGGACAAAAAGCCAGCAGTTTGTTCACCTTTAAACTGCCAAACCCGTATGACTCTGCCGTTCAGCGCAGGGTGTGATCTGTCCTGTGATTAGCCGAACAGCTGCAGTTGTTGATCATATCACAATGATCGTATAAAAGTGTATGTATAATTTGTGCAGGTGTCTTGGTGTCTGGCTTTGGAGCTGGTTTCAGTCAAAGCTAAAAGCGATAGTTTGCTGCTTAGAAGCTAATTTGCACATCCAAAGTCCCAATTTGCTATTTTTTTTTTTTTTAAGCTTTCAGTACTGTTTGGTTGGCATACGCTGATCATGGGTTTTATGAACAATCTTGATTTCTTTACAGCTAGTTGCCCAAAGGGTGATTTTTATTAGCAGCCTTTTTTTTAACCCAAAGCTCACACTGTGCAGGCTAATTAAACACATGAAGCACATTGCCACATTTCCAGAGCTTTTTCAACAGCCGAACTTAAATATAAACAATATTATTTGCTTGTCAATGGTCCAAAAGGGCATTTTTTTTTCCCGATTTTGAGTGTCTGTTTCAACAACACAAATCAAATGAAGTGAACATTGAAAGTAAAAGACAACTGGCTATTCCGTATAGTCAAGTACAACCCCACTTCCAAAAAAGTTGGGATCCTGTGCAGAATGTAAATAAAAATAGGATGCAATGATATGCGAATCATATAAACCATATTTTTAAAGGAAAATACTACAAAGCCAACATATCAAATGTTGAAACAGAGACATTTTATTGTTTTTTTGAAAATTATATGCCTGCTTTAAATTTGCTGCCAACAATTCGTTCGAAAAAAGTTGGGATGGGGGCATGATTACCACTGTGTTTCATCACCTCTTCTTTAACAACACTCTGTAAGCGTTTGGGAACTGAGGAAACCGACTGTTGTAGTTTTGAAAGTGATGTTTTCTCATTCTTGTTTAATATAGGATTTCAGCTGCTCAACAGTTCAAGGTGTCCTTTGTCGTATTTTTGATTTCATAACCCTCCAAATGTTTTCAGTGGGTGACAGGTCTGGACTGCAGGCAGGCCAGTTTAGCACCTGGACTCTTTTAACACAGAGCCATGCTGTTGTAATACATGCAGAATGTGGTTTGGCATTGTCTTGCTGAAGTAATCAAGGTCTTCCCTGAAAAAGACTGATGGCAGCATATGTTGCTTTAAAACCTGGATATATCATTCAGCATTAATGGTGCCTTCACAGATGTACACGACACCCATGCCATGTGCACTAATGGACCCCTATACCATCATGAATACTGGCTTTTGAACTGTGCACGAGTAACAAGCTGAGTGGTCTTTAGCCCGGAGGACACAGTATCCATGATTTCCAAAAAGAATTTTAAATGTTGACCCGTTAGACCACAGGACACTTTTCCACTTCACCTCAGTCCATTTTAAATGAGCTTACGTCCAGAGAAGGTGGCAACATTCCTGGATCCTGTTTATGTACAGTTTCTTTGTATTTTAGAGTTTTAACTTTTACAAGTTTTAACTAAGCATTTGTGGATGCAGCGCCGAACTGTGTTCACAGACAGTGGTTTTCAGAAGTGTTTCTGAGCTCATGCAGAATAATGTCTGTTTTTAACGCAGTGCTGGCTGAGGGCCCAAAGATTTTGGCTAGCTAATACTGGTTTTCAGCCTTGTCCCTTGCATACAGAGATTTCTCTGGATTCTCTGAATCTTTTAATGTTATGTAGCGTAGATAATGGAAAGCAAAAGTTCTTTTCTATTTATGTTGAGAAATGTTATTTTTGAATTGTTGCACTATTTGCAGTCTTTCACAGAGTGGGTGAACCCCTCCTCATCTTTACTTCTGAAAGCCTCTCTGAGATGCTCTTTTTATACCCAATCATGTTATTTAACTGTTGCCAAACAACCACTAGGTGTTTGTTTTTTTTGTTTTTTTTTAAGCATTACACAACTTTACCAGGCTTTTGTTGCCCCCATCCTGACTTTTGGAACGTGTTGCTGCCATCAAATTCAAAATGGGCAGATATTTAAATATTTAATAAACAATCAAATTTCTCAGTTTCAACATTTGATATGTTGTCTTTGTACTATTTTCAATGAAATATAGGGTTTAAATGATTTGTTTTGCTTTTTGCAACTTTTTTGGAAATGGGGTTGTATAATTGTGCTACAGCATTTTAGTTTAGGTGTAGCAACTGCATTCAAATACAGCTTGTGCTCTTACCTGCCTCGCCTAGCTACATTAGCCTCGTAGCGCCAGTGCTAAAACTAAAGATGTTCAAATGCCATTGAGTATATTTGAGATTTATAAAAAAAAAAAAATAAAAATTTGTACATTGAACTGAACTGTCACTTTAAGTGGCGACTGATTGACTGTGGATCTTTCTAACATGCGTTTACAATACAACTGTCAGCCTTTAGTATCGAGTCAGTGAGCTTCAGTGGAGCAGAGTTCAGAGAAAACAGCGGTTTAAATTCATACTTCCTGGTATTTGACATGCTACATGATTTTTACAAGTATTATTAACTAAATGGAGCATAAAACACAGACAAGGAAGTTTCAGTTCTGCTTTACATTAACAGTGACAACAGTAAAAGTTTACAGTTTTTATAAAGAGTTTTCCACCAAGAATAAGCACATAATTAAGCAAGACCTGATAACCAGCAATCAGAATTAATCCTAAACAGAAACACTGTGTTGCCAAGAATGATGAGCATTCCAGGAATTTACTTTGGCAACGTGGTTCATAACAGCCTTCATGTAGGAACATGCAAAAGTTTGAGCACTCCAGTCAAATTCAATGAAGTTATGGCACATTATATTTTATGTTTTATGCTTTATTTTTTGAATTAAACCTGTGCACTTAAAAAAAAATGTCATTTTTTTTGTCCTGTAAAGCAGTGGTTTCCAGACTGTGACACCAAAAGATGTTTAGAGTTAGGGCTGCACGATAAATCGTATTTTTATTGTTATCGCGGTAGGAGATTCCACAATAAACGTATCATTAGAGTGGCCATGACAGAACAGATCTAATGACCTCATACACACAGCGCCAGAGAGACGTCATTACAACACGGGACATGCCATTACAAGCCTGCTTCTGTGTGCTTGGACTGCACCTGCTCTCTCACGCAGGAGATGAGTGACTTAACCATTCAACCAAACGGCAACTACAAAACACACATTGAGGTCTTAAAATGTCGCCGTGACTCAGATTTAATGGAAATTCAACTCAAAACAGCTGTAGCAAAAGGGAAAACATGCAGCACACAGGCTGCTCAGGCTCTCCTGATGCTCACTACTTAGTTGTTCCCGGACCAACTAAGAACATGGTGCCGAACTACGCTCAACCAAATGCAAGAACAACGTTACTTTTAAACTAAATACAACCCAGCATGTCTGACGCCACAATATTAAATAACTGAACAAAAAAAATGAAAACAAGAATATGGAGGGATACATGCAGGACATTGTGGGGCAAAATAAAGCCAGTGGTAATCTACAGCCTATGGTATTGGCTTTAGATTAATCAGTATTTTGAACGATTTTAAAAATTCATTTTAGACCAAAATCTTCTCAAAACTATCGTAAAACAATGTCTCATCCATCAGGCAGTGTATTCATATCTATTTCATGTAATAACTTTCTGTGAGGGAGCTTTTAGAGGTGAACTTCTGGTTCCTGTCACCACCACTGTGAACAATTCTGACTCTCTGACTGTAGAATGGAGCATTTCAAACCAAACCACTCTGAATTACTCTGTTTACATCTCAACCATATAATTATGCAGAAATTTCCAAAAATCGTTGGAGTTCCCCTTTAAGTGTATTGTATATTGGATGGACGCTTGCATTCTTAAATGTAGCCTCTAAATATAAGCTTCACGGAGGCACACCACGACCAGTGTAGCAGGAAATACCGTTCGCAGATTTTCACTCTAGATTAGCCAGGTTTAACTTGGACACTCCCAAAAATTCATTTCCTGTCACACTACAGTTCTCTATAGCTGGAGCGATTCTAATCACTTCTAAACCTCTAATAATCACTCACACACAGACTTAAACCTTTTTACAAAGCAAGATTACCTAGCTTGTAAACATGACACCTGCATGTCAGAAAAGCAGTTAAAAGAAATGCACACACACGCACTTAACTGTGTTCCATCTCAGTGGAAAATCTGGAGATCAGCACATTCAAAACCAGAACACATTTCAGGAACTGTTCCTTTGCCCCCCCCCCAGGTGTGGATCACTGTTTTGAGCCACTTCTTCTCTATTTAATTTTGTCAAAACAGCCATTAAGTACAAGTTATTCATTTTTCAGCATCAAGAAAAAAGCAAAAAAAATATTTAGCAGAAATTACACAGAAGCTCTGATCTGAAGCAGCTTGATTTTCTCCTCTCTCTCAAAGATGAAAGCTTTGTTTCACAGCAAAGTGCTGTTTATCTGATGGGGGCAGTTTTGGTGTCTAGCAGCTCCTCCAGTTGGTTGTTAGGGGTCTCATTGTTTCTGTAGCTTTTAATCATTTTTGGAAACTCTTGTTTTTTTCACTCCGACTTTCTCCTGCCTTATGCATGTGGACTATCTCATATCTAATCTCCTCAGAAATATCTTCTGAAACATTAATACATTGTTCTTAATGGCTGTTTAAACTAGAAATGAAACAAATAAAGGGTCTCTGACCTGCACAGTACTGTATGTCCTAATAAGACTGTCTTGGAGAAGAAAAACTACAGTAATCTATTGTTGTGTTATTAATGGCTGCTCTGAAATGTTTTTGGAGCATACAAATTTAAAGATGGCATCACGCCTGCTATCGACCTGCTAAGTGAAAGTAAAGAGAGAAAGACCCAAATAAATGAATCAATACTAAAACCTCCTTATTTTTGAACTCTTTCATTTGATTTGAATGTCTGTGGAAATAAGATGTCACTATTTTACTTTTTAAATGATGCTTATTGTGGTAAATAAACTCTGTTATAGTGAAGTTTTCTTTTGCATGCTTCATAAATGATATCCTTTCATAAAGTTATTGAACCTGGTTCTGTTCTAGGTGGTGCGGAAGATGATGTGGTTAATGGACCATGTGTTTAAATACACCAATTTTGGCGTGGTGTCTCTGATCCACGGAGATTTCTTCATTAGGCAGGTAAGATCAAACACAAGGGCACAGCTGGGAGAAATAGGACACTAAACCTGTAAGACAGAGCATTGTTTTAAAGATGCTTTTATATAGTTAGTATCACAGTTTTTTTAATAATATAATACTTATTTGGTTGCAGGTAAATGTTTAGAATAAGACTAATCTGCTTGTTCTGTTCAACATCACAGCTTTTAGGCAATTAGCAGGGCACTAAATAAAATTTTAGAAAGGTTAGATGTGTGTAGAATGATGAACACAGCTGAGGAATGACTGAAAAAGCTGTAAAACATTGTAATACACTCGTAAGTTTGAATACAAGTGAAAATAAGTTAACACATCCTCTACAGAGAACAGACTTAAATATAACTGTTTTGTTACTGTACAGTTTCTTTTTATTTAACTTATTGTAAAGAAATAAAACAAAATATATAAACAGAAATTTTAAAACATGTCATAACTTTTGTACCTTCTTCTGCTGTCTTTCCTTTCACTTAAAGGGGTGGGACAGGTGGGGTGTGGTGGAAGTGACTGTGGGTGGAGGGGGGTTGTGTGGTTGTGGTACCACATTTTAGATCTGTATGATTATTAATAATAAACAATGAGTTGTGACATTTAATAAGGAAATGAAAGAAAAATCAATGCCCCCCTTAAAGGAAGGGTTGTGGTGTGGCCAAGGGATACTGGCCAGGCGAGGAAAAAAAAAGAAAACTTTTGCACCAGCCACATTTTATGTTTTATTATTTTTCCAGTATGTTAAACTCTGTAAATCCACAGAAACTGTGTATTAAAATGTACAGAAACTTGTTATTTGTAGAGGATAATTTGTAATATTAACTTACTTTTACTTAGAAAATCACCAGAACATGAAATTTGACCAGGGGCACCCAAACTTTTGCAATCGACTGTATATATGATATAAACACTCATTGGTTGGAACATGTAGCCACTGTTGCTCTCACTGGACGTTGGTGATTTTGACAACTGTTCACTCTGCATTCATGTGATTTTCATGTTTAGGTTGAACTATTAAAAGTAAAACATTCACTCACATAACTATAGCCAAATGCACTATTTTATAAATGGAAAAATCTTTTTTTAGGGTCAAATTAGAGCAAATAAGGCAAATGCAGTTAATCGCAAATAACTATGCAAACTAATGTAATTGGTCATAATTATTTAAATCGATTATCAGCCCTAAACGTGACCTGTGCGGTTGATCTTTGACAGGGAAAAGCACATCGAGACAAGCAGCTCATTTACCTGAAGGCTCACTTGGATAAGTATTACTACAGCAGGGACAGGAAGTGGATCGTGTTGTTTCCCGAGGGGGGCTTCCTGCGAAAGCGGCGGGAGACGAGCCAGTCGTTTGCCAAGAAAAACGAGCTGCCATATTTGACCCACGTGACACTGCCACGTCTGGGGGCCACTCAGGTCATACTGAAGACACTGGGACCCCAGCAGGAGAACGGCACTCTGGGAACGGATGGTGGACCACCTGGCCAGAGCGGTAAGAGTGGGGAAAAATGAGATTTAAATACAAAATGACTAAATTTACTAATTTACTAAATGGCTTTGTATATGCTGGCCGTTGTTGGTGAAATTCAGTATTACAGTATTTTCCAAATGGATCATGACATCCGGCAATATCTAGGTTTGCAATAATAAGGTTATGAACCTGTTCTGCCTGAGTACTGCAGCAGTAAAAGAACGTCAGATGGAGCTTGTTTTGGACGTTTTTGTTCCGTTTAAAGTTACACCAATGGCGACCTTACGCAGTATTGTGAACGTTAATCAGAACAAAAACATGATGCAAATTACATTGACGTTAAAGTACCTCTAAATTCAGTAGGAAAGTGAAGATTTATGAATTTGCAGGATTGTGTAAACTGTAAACACTCCCGTGCCTTCACCACCAGGGACTCTGTGTTTGTACCTTTGGCGAATGGGGAATACAGCCCTATGTGTTTGAGCAGACTAAGCAGATGAAACGGAGCACAACAGAAACAAGAAGCTCCTGCTGTAACATTAATAATCATAATTAATAATTATTATTAAGCACAAGCCATGTTACAAAATGTTATTATACACGTTGCATTCAGTTACACATTTCTACCAGAGAGGTCACCAAATCCCCAAAGCTTACACAGTGCTGCTTTAACAGTACAGGACATGCAGAACACTGACACTTACAGTCATGGTTCCCTTTAACAAATCCAAACTATCTTCTTTAATATAAGATTGTTTCATTTAATCTGTGCTTAAGCCTTTAGAGCAGGAGTGTCATACTCAGCGACTAAAAGGGCCATATTAAAAAACGCAACAAATCCGTGGACCGGCTATGTTTTTATTTTAGTTTTACTGAACATTTTGCCATGACCCCAGCTGGCCGTTGTTTTTTCAAAATATGCCAAAACTACAATGGCAAAAAACAGGCAATGTGTTGAATGCTTTAAAAATAATTTAATAAAAAAAAACTGTTTTGTATAAAATAATAGACTACATTACCTGCAGATAACTGTTAAACCTCTTCACATGTCCCTAATGTACAGCAGTTTATTTTTAAACAGTGCATGCTGGGAACTGTACTGCAGCTCACAGTGGAATGGGCGAATATTAATAAAAAAATGTAAATAATTTCACAGGCCGAATAGGGTTGTGCCACAGGCCTGACTTAGCCTGCGGGCCTTGTGTTTAACACATGGGCTTTAAATAAAAAAGATGATTCAAACAGGTGCGCTTAGACATTCCACTGGTGTTGTATTTATTGTGTTAGCCATCGTTTGGCTTTTCATGGACTTTGGATTCTGTTCGGATATTACTCTGTCAGTTTGCCTTCAGAGGTAATTCCTTCCCTCTTAGTGTTTGTAGATAATTAGTCAGAGGCCTCCGAGCTGACCTTTAACCCAGAGCTCATAATGAATCACTCACCATTCAGTTACTCACTTCCTTTAAAACTGAACTTTGAACAGTGAAACTCTGAATGCGTTCCAACCCCACAATCCACTTTTAAATTACACTCTTAAAAAAGATGGTGCTTCAAGGGTTCTGTAGTAAAGAAAATACTTCTCTGTAGAAGCATGAACTCTCAAAGAACCCTCTGCATGATTAAAGTGTTCTTCAGATTGATGGAGAATGTGCTGTAGATGCTTCTATGTAGAACCTTTTTGGAAATGATTCTGTATAGCACCAAAAAGTGTTCTTCTATCGTTACAGTTTCAGGCTTGTTATAGTAGAAGAACCTATTTTGATGCTATATAGAACCCTTTTCAAAAGGTTCTACATAGAACCATCGATAGCATTCTCCACCAAGCTGTGGAACCCTTTCATGATGCAACAAACCCTTTAATCATGCAGAGGGTTCTTTGAGTGTTCATGGTTCTGTATAGAACAATTTTCTTTACTAAAGAACCCTTGAAGAACCATCTATTTTAAGAGTGTAAATAACATCTGTACAAAACTGTCAGTACTGCTGTTAATCATTTAGTGTCTACACCGAAACATGGTTGTTTAGTGTACTTATCTGCTTTATTAACGTGATTTCCTCAATGCTGTCATCACCTTTGTTTTTATATGCAAAAGTTTGGGCGCCCCTGGACAAATAAACATGGGGGGACAGAAAATGTGGCACGTGCAATATTTTTGCCGCACTTTATAACTAACATATTAGTTTTTCCCCAACTTGTTAAACAATGAATAAATAGAAAATCAACAAAATGTAATTTGACCAGGGGTGTTCAGGGGTATAAATAAAGTAAAATAAACGTGAATATAATCTACACTTTAGTTGGCTTTGATTGTTCCATAACCAATCCAGATCAGTGATAAGCGTGAATGTGAGCGCATGCTTACTAAGAAACGTTGGCAGCGCATCCAATAATAAAGGCAGCATGGAGCGTCATTTATACGGTGATAGGAAACATGCTAGCTCGCAGTAGGGTTGCATTGATACCGTTACAATTTTTTAAATACTTGTCAATACTAAGTCTAATACCACCCTGAGAAACCTACTAAATGAGTGTAATGTACCTTATATACCCTGATATTAAATGAAGTGGTTTAGCTAGCTGTACTATATTATTTAAGGCTTCGCTGGACTGATTAGCGCTACAGGGGAGAAGAACAGGTTTTGTTCCACATGAGAAAAGCACTCCCCTACCGCTGTAGTTTTGCCCCTCATCTGTCATGCTGCGTTTGGACAGCTCTGTATGTGAACAATTTCAAATAAAACTTTTATTCGAAACAACTTGAGGAACAGAGCAGATTTTCTAACACTGCACTGAAGCTAGAAGTCTTTCTATGGCCTGTTTGCCAAAACAGTCACTGTATTAATGTTTAAACCTCACTCAGTCAAACAGAGTAAAGTCAGCATAGATGGAAATTAGTAGCAAATGTGGAGATTAACTGGCTTGCGAGTCTCCACCTGTATTGAGGAAGCAGCTGTGTGTTTTAAAAATGGGCTAAAATCACACTGTGTATTCCTGGCCCGAACATGCCAAGGCAGAACGTTTAAAGTGACCACTGGCTTTGTGTCCGACTGTGACTGAGTCAGTAACACTTCTCTGTGTGAGCACAGACTCCTTCACTGTGTTTCTTCATTAGTGCGACAGTGTGTACTTATGTCACAGCTGGTATCGGAGTGTTTGTATCTGTGAATTTTTGAGTAAATCAGCACGGTATCGGCCCGATACGAACATCGGTGCATCCCTGACTCACAGAAAGCTTAAATTCCATATGCTGATCCGTTTGCGGACCAACGTGGCCATGATTACTCACCACCTACATTTGGGGACAAAGTTTAATCAGTTAGAGGAGACTTGGGGAGCTAATCTAATGCTTTGCACTTTACTATATGGCTCTTTAGTGCCTATAATAAGATCGCAGGGAGCAGTCACTCCTCTTCTGTGCTTTTGCCTCACTGCTTCCCTCTCCAAGTGCAAAATACTGGGAAAAGATTAGTACAATAAACCACACGCTTCCATTTACCAAGCAAACATCTACTATTTACTGATACTAACTGTGCGCCTGTGAAAAGCTTTATTGTCTTATTTTTGCCACTAACCTGGCTACCGCTGTTGCTCAGAGACGCCCATCCACCAAAATGGAAACTCGTTCTCGCCAGGTGAAAAGTAGTTGCCTGTTGTTTTTTCCCCACCATACTTTAACTTACTTGGTTGTATTTATAGTAAGTTATTTTCTCACAGTAATGACATCTGAAAACAGTGATGAAATGTAATAACTCATTTTGTTTTAGTAAATCAAAATCCTGAAAATGAATCACTATTTTGAGATGAAAGACAAACTTTCATCATGATAAATCAACACCACTGCAGGAAACAGATAGGAAAAACACTCCCCCACCTGGCCGAACAAAACGAACGTAAAAGACTGGGGTTTGTTTATTTTAAACAAATGGTAATTATAAGGTGCGTCTGTGTTCATTTGCATAAAAGTTCCTGCGCTGAACTTACAGTGAATCAAGGCATTTTCCGTTTCATCTCCCATTCATTAGAGGCAGGTAGCAGTTTTGTGTATAGCTTTGCATTGTAACTTTTGGAAGTAAATAGTGAGGTTCTTCTCTGTCCCTTCTTCTTTAAAACTCGTTCAGAATCACCACCTAAAGTCAACTGAGTATAAACTAAACAGCATCCGTTTTTATTATGAAATGAAAACATAGTAATGATAACATTCCAATTTGCCCTCAAGAGATGTTTGAATCTTGGGACCAATTAATGTCAACAAAAATACCCAGTTAAGTCATCATGGAAGGTTCAATTAGATCCTGAACACATCTGAACAGATTTCAGTTAAACATGTAGAGAAAGGACTGATTTATTCTGTTTGAAGACATGACCAAGACCAGACAATGTCGAGACCAAGAACATTGATTTGTGGTCTTGAGACCAGACACAAGTACTATGACACATCTGCAGGGACTGTGTTGTTTAAGATGGTGGTTCTAATGAGATTAACTTTGGGCAATCATGAGCTAATTTAATGACACATTAGACTGATTCTTCCAGAATTTCACTGATATCCAACAAGCCATAATAAGTAAAAAGATTTTCTCAGTAGCAAGGCTGGCAGTGTGCAGCTGTGAGCCAAACGGCTAACTTGGCCAACTTCTGCCAATTAGTAGTAGCCAATTAATATTAGCCAACTATGCCAAAAGTTCTTAATGTACACCTTTTAGTTCATAATGATTGAGTTCTGAAAGACCTGGCGGAGGTTTACAGTGTTGTTGGTTTTTTATGGCTAGCACTGCTGTGTTGTCCATATTGCTGCTCCTTGTTGACCGTTACATTGGTAACGGTCAGGATTGTCATTTACAGATTGGACAAATAACACCGTAACAGCACTACAAGATGTTAGGTTTGTTTAGGTTAATGCTGTTTGTAATGTTCTTTACTGTGTGCCAAAGCAAGTAGCTTATTAGAGGTTTTCCTGATATTTTTCAGACTGAACGTCCTCATGTTGAGACAGTACAACAATAAATTTTATATTAGATCC